TGTTAAACTATATCACCTGTTGTAAAAGGCTCTCTATATAAAGTTATTATTATTATATATATTATTAAAGTTAATACAAGTTAAGTTAATTACATTTACTAAAAATAAATAATGCCTTAATACTTACATAGTTTCTTCAACAGTGCTAACTGTGGACTGTACTGTGATGATCGGAAATCCTCACAATTGTACTCAAGTTAGAGAAAAGCTCTGTCCTACAGTGGCTGTTTCCCCTTCTGACACTTTAACAGGCCAGGTGGCCAAACATGTGTCTCACATCTAGTCCAGTAATACGAGAGTTAGGAGTGTAACAAGCCGTATACAGTGCAGACAGGGATAACTGAGACAGTACGTCATCCTATTCATGATATAGTGCATTGATTTATGACTTGGGGGCAGTGAACACAAGTGGCTTTGATTTTATTTAATTCCCTTCAGCTCAGTGGTCTGAGATTTATTTATTTCATTCAGTTCAGGCTCAGTGGTCTAAGACCTCTGATCCAGAGTTTGATCCAGGCTGAAGGTCGCTGCTATTGTGGCCTTAGTCAATGCACTTTAGCCTTGTTCCTTCAGTCTCAGCTAAATTATTTATATAAATGTTGCAAGTGTTCAAGGGTGCAGTGTGAATAGATAAGCTATAAGAGAGATTTGTGACTAAAGGATAAAGGATGTAATAGTAAACCTGATTACCATGAATCCTCTTGCAGTTGAGCTTCAACACAATATCTGACACACTGACTGCAAAAAAAAAGTTATTCTAGCAAGTAAAAACATCTTAATTCTAGTCAATATGTGTAATATTTCACAGTATGAGATTGTTGTAAGAATATTGCAGGTTTATTTACCCTATTTCTGTACATTTTTACTTGTTTAGATCATTTAATGTAGTGGACGTTCTTGTTTCTTTTGTCAGATCATTTTACTTTCAAATAAGAAATTATATGCATTATTTCTCATAATAAGTAAAATGATCTGCCAATGGAATAAGACATTTTTATTAGATTAAATGGCTTAAAACAAGTAAAATAAATAAGTAGGTTAATTAATTTTTACAGTATTATTTTTGGGGTTTTTCTACTGAAAACAGTAGTAGTCCGTTAGATCAACTGTCTTGCATTCAGGTATGGAGTTAAACTCTTAAATAGAATCACTATAATGTAGGCTTGCACAGTATGCACAGAATTCCTCATTGCAATTATTTTGCTAGATATATTCGATCATTTAAATGTCTTGATGCAACCAAACACCTGCAGAACCCAGGGGCGAAGCTTGACTAGTTGACCTAGACCTTTAATTTGAGCCATAAATGTCAAAGTATGAGTGAAAAGCCCACCTCTGTGACTTCTGCTAGCGTTCCTATGAGGTTCTAGACATGTCAGTTTTCTAAAATACATTCAAATTTTTTTACTTAAGCTTGGAAAAGATATTAGCATATATTTTACCTTGAAGCAGTTTCACAGTGGCGTTTTCAATAGTGAGCTCTGCTATAGAGCTGCTGCTCTTTTCCCTTCTAACAACCCACTGATTAAGCTGGTATACAGTCAGTGACATATCTAGAACTTCCAGAAGGCCTAGAGTGTTTGTTTTTTTTTCCCCTCATGAAATTAGTCCTACCTAAGCGTGATTGGTTGATTCCTCTGTCACTTTGTGTTTATGCTTATAGTTAATTTAACGTGTAAGGACTTCTCTTCAACTCATGGAGTCCTAACCAATAGGAGGGCTCACTATGCTAAATGCCTAGACAGCCCAAAGACAAGCAATTCCTCATTGGGCAGTTTTCCTCTCTGCGTTTCAAGAATTTAATCCTTTTGTTTCCATCCAAAACTTAACAATGAAACAGGAGTATCACTGTAATCCTAAGAGTTTAAAAACAAGCTTCTAGATAAAAATGAAGGCCTTGTAGGTTCCCCTCTGACAGAACTTCATCTGTAGCATCTGAGAATTAGGCTGAATAGAAGTTATAATGGTTTAATGAAGACTCATTTAACCTCAACAGCATCAGTGTCCACTTTCACAAAGACTAATAACAGTGTACTGTTAATCATGCCTACTGTAATTTAAAAGTGCTGCTGAAAGGGCTGATATCAGTATGAGTTTTATCCCAGCTTATAACTACAGCCATCGTGTTCATGATGAAGGCACTAAACTACAGCCATCATGCTCATGGCGAAGGCACTAAACTACAGCCATCATGCTGATGACGAAGGCAGTAAACTACAGCCATCATGCTGATGACGAAGGCACTAAACTACAGCCATTGTGCTGATGATGAAGGCACTAAACTACAGCCATCATGCTGATGACGAAGGCACTGAACTACAGCCATCATGCTGATGACGAAGGCACTAAACTACAGCCATCATGCTGATGACGAAGGCACTAAACTACAGCCATCGTGCTGATGACGAAGGCACTAAACTACAGCCATCGTGCTGATGACGAAGGCACTAAACTACAGCCATCATGCTGATGACGAAGGCACTAAACTACAGCCATCGTGCTGATGACGAAGGCACTAAACTACAGCCATCGTGCTGATGACGAAGGCACTAAACTACAGCCATCATGCTGATGACGAAGGCACTAAACTACAGCCATTGTGCTGATGATGAAGGCACTAAACTACAGCCATCGTGCTGATGATGAAGGCACTAAACTACAGCCATCGTGCTGATGACGAAGGCACTAAACTACAGCCATCGTGCTGATGACGAAGGCACTAAACTACAGCCATCGTGCTGATGATGAAGGCACTAAACTACAGCCATCGTGCTGATGATGAAGGCACTGAACTACAGCCATTGTGGTGATGATGAAGGCACTAAACTACAGCCATCGTGCTGATGATGAAGGCACTAAACTACAGCCATCGTGCTCATGAGGAAGGCAGTTACAGTCCAGTTGGGCTGTACCTATAGGAGGTTAATGTACAAAGCTTTGGGCAAAAGAAGGTGGCTGTAAAGTTTGAGATCGTGAACCCTGTCCTAAAGCAGAATGGCAAAGGTCAGAGAACGGGCAGGGCCATTAGAATTTGTCCCCCTCTGGAGTTGGTCAGACCACAGCTCATACTCGTTTCTGGTGTTTTAACTTTACTTTAGCCACTACAGAGGAGCTCCTGAGTTGCGCTGGCCCAGTTAGCATTCAATCCCTGGTGAAGCCGCAGCCATCCATGACCAGAAATTCTATATTGCGTAAAAAACAGTGTAAAAATAATAATAACAAAATATGAACCCCTGCTGGACCTCATGTATGAGTGTGTGTTTCTCTGGCTTGCGTGACCACCTGCACTCATAAATGTTTTGGGGTGTAACGGACACTGTGGGGTCACACCTGGCTCGCTTGCCTAATGGTCAAAATGAGGGCAGGACGATACACATCAGTAGAGTTTACAGAGCATCAGTATACTTCTAAACTGAAATACACACCATCTGTCTCTCAGGAGTGAAACTGAGGGAAGGAGCTTCAGTGCCCGTTTACTAACATCAGCCCTTTTAGTTAAAGGCTGAAATGAATATTTGATCAGTTCTGTAATTAGATTTTTAAAAAGTCTTTAAAATCATTTGAATAATTGATACTTTATCCACTTTTATGAAACCAGAAATGGTGTTTGCAATGTATTTATCCCAAAAATAAATGAAAGTAGCTGTTCAGAACAGAAGGAAACTTATTCATTGTAAGTAAGTCCTCCACTCACTGACGATTTCACCTAAGAACTTTTCCAATTGGTAGTGATCCAATGAACTGATATACTGAATCAGTACTGACACGGAGCCCCACTGCTCTATAATCCTGTAATGCTGTATATATATATATATATATATATATATATATGTATATATCTCGCTCCAAAATGGTAACTTTACAGGAGAAGGAAAAAAAACGACTTTACTTTTAATGTAAGTCAGTGGAGCCAGACTTTTTTCCAAGTATTTTTGAGTAATTTCTTTTAGTCCAATCATCATGAAATCTGTGTACAATATAAAGGACTACAGATATTTTCAAATTCTGTTAAAAACTAAAAAAGTCAAAAATTGAGGTACAAGGTTTAGTTCTGACAGCAGCAATATGAATATGTATATATGTGTGTGTGTGTATATATATATATATATATATATATATACACACACACTAGTATTAATATTACTGTACTGTAATAATTTTAACACAAGGTAAAGTTTAATGCTAGAAATATAGATACAAGTTTTTGCCTGTAACAATATGATGTTCCTTTGCTTCCCTGAAAAGCAGTAGTATGATGAATACTATCACAATACACAGAGTTCACAGAATAGACTGCCAAAGTTGTGGTGTTTTTCTGTAGTCAGACTAAAAAGTCTTAGTCTCAGTTACATTTCTCTATGACAACAAACCAATCAGATATTCAAAAATCACAGCCTCGTAATTGACATCGTAAAACATGCGAGTACACAGAAATACCTCACACAAACCAGCAAGCTTTGTCGTATGTGGTAGAGAAATTGCTTTGGCAGTAATAAAAAGTATGAGGAGTAGATGGTGGAGTTATATAATAACGTTTAATTTAAATAGTAACAGTAGTTTCATGTGCCATCATTTCAATGCGCTGTAGTGGTAGCTTGCTCTTAGCACAGATGTGACAGTGTTCATATTTGGACTCCTTAAAGACTCCATAATTGAGAGGATCTAGTGACATTTGGAGGAAAAATGTACAAGTTTGATCCTTTTTTTTTTTAATAAAAAAAAATTCAGTCCATTCATTCATTAGTGTCTTGCGCTTTTATTTCCCTTATATATCTGAATGTGATGCAGCATTTGATAGAATATATTTGAAAATATGATAGCTGCAGCTCTGTAGTTCTGTTATTTTTTTACTCTATTTGCAGTTGACTGAACAGATGGTATCAGCTGTGTCTTTGTGCTCAGACAGCCATGAAGAAATGAATGTATGAATGAATGTATTATTGATTCATTGATGTGTCTATTTGTCAGGATACTTAGTACAAACTCTCTTCTCTCTGCAGTAATAGGCTGGCACCTAGCAACCATGACCGGATACAGCGCTTGCGTCACGAGTTTCAGCAGGCCAGGCAGGAAGAGGAGGAGCCAGATGACCGGCATCGCACCTACAGCCTCGAGCAGCCATGGGTGAGTGTGTGAGGGGTGTGTGTGTGTGCGTGTTCTGGACGGATTGCTGTACAGAGCTCCTCCCGTGGGAATAGTTGAGCAGGACTGGGCTATGTGGAGGACGAGCTGAACTGCACCTCTGCACTGATGCTAAGTGCGTAGATGAGACTGAGACCGCATGCAGAAGCATGGACACTGAACTCACACGCTAACAATGCTAACACACGTCTACTCATCCTTCCATCTGTCCGTCCATCGGGAGCATCCATTCATCCATCCATCCATCCATCCATCCATCCCTCCAGCTGTTCGTCTGTCTCCTTGCATCTTCTATGAATTGTGCGAGTTATGTCAGTCACAGTATGTGTGAATATTAGATGGGACTGTGAATGCTTACAGGTTTGAGAGTGAGTGTGGGTGTTTCTTTACACCTGAAAGGATTACTCCAGCTTTTTTTCAGCCTGATCTCTGTCTGCCGCATCAGCACCATATAGTTAGTTACTATGGACAATAAATTTCATCTTTTTTTCTAGAAAATAACAGAAAACAAACTCACTTATAAGCACCTGCCCATTGGCTCCCATTGTAAGTGTTATTTGAGTAGATGCATTTTCTGATCTTTGGTTAATGCATGAAAGCTGTCCATGGAAATCGACTGTATGGTGATGTGCACAGGTGCTCGAGTACTCGGTTAACTGTTCGAAATGCCAGTATTTGAATCCTAGAATCATTATTCAGGTATTTAAGTTTCATCACTGAAAGGCTAAGAAAATATACCGACCAACAGTTCAGTAAAACACTGATTTGACTGTAAAATCTGACCATTTTGCTCATATTCGGGATCATAAATATTATACTTTGCTGTTCCGAAATGCTAGAATCTTAACGAGGATGCGTTGCCAAAGATGCGTTGTTAAGGACATGGAGATTTTATCGCTAAGTAAGCTAGGCCAGATATCCAGAAGCAGTTAAAATATATTTCTCTGACACACTAACATATTGGCACATCATCCACTTAAAAGGGAAAAAAACACCTGTAGAACACGATGACTCTCCATCATCATTTGTACCAGTTAACTGTAGCAAAGTTCTTTATAAAGTCTCTGGCTGTAATTTTAGCTTAGTAACTCATCTTTGGCAGCCTCTGCTATGTTACTATTCCGACCAAAAAATCTACCAATTTAACTTTGTATTAACTTAGGTATTTAGAAAACATGTTTTGAAATGTGTTCCTTTGTGTGATGATATTTTTGGCAATACCAGTGCTGTCACCTAAAAAGCTAAGCCTACAGCTCTACATTAACTTCGGCCAACATCTGTTTTTCTTTGTTCAGCATTGTTCCCACAGCCCCCCTCATCCTCCATATTCAACCAGATATCCGTTCATTGACCCTTACGAGCACTCTGAAATCAAAAGTCGTCAGAATGACCATCCCTTGTAGATACGACAGGTAAACATAGGTTTAGAAAACGCTGGTCTGGACTTTTAATAGAGTGACTAAATAACATGGCAGACATTATTCTGACTGTGCCTTGTCTGTCGACACAAGAACAAGCCTCCCAGCTCAAGTCCTGCAGTCCACCTGTCGTTTCATGTTTTCCTGCTCCAACATCTGATTCCATTCAAGAGGACCTTGATCATTAGCTAATGATATGACTCATGTGCAGAGCAAATGTGCAGGTGGGCTGCTAAGCTTGGAGTTGGGGGGAAAATAACAATTCATTAGAGTGTTTTCTATGAGCCACTGAAACAAACCTGAAATAATGGAAAACAGTGTTTGGGGGGACTTTGCTACAATGATCTTACATTTAGGATCATTTAAAGCCACATAAACTGTGGAATTAGCACTACAGCCACTTCAGGATTAGCATATGAGTTTACTAACACAGAGCATGACAAAGTGTGTGTGTTTTAACAGAGACATTATTATTTGGAAGCGTTTGTTGTTGCCGTACTAACAGGCCTGTGAGCTGTGGCAGTTGACCTGTTCATGCTCCTCCCACAAATGCATTCTTACATGGCTACTGTTATGAGGTTGGATAAGCTTTATACAGAATGTTGGTTCAGTCTATTGAGAAATTGTAACTAAACATCTTTGTTTTTGTCAAAATGTGTAAGTTTAGATTGTATTTTTCATCTCATGTAATATTTATTGTGTGAAAATTGTGCTGTTAGGATATTTTTTAGAAATTAAGGTTTAACCTGAACCTGGTGGCCAGTTCATCATTGTTTCCAGCCTGCCTTAATCAGCATAGTCCTACACAGTAGCTTAGTGTTTAAACTGGAAACTCTAAACGAAGTGCACCACAGTTTCTCATTACTTTAAATGTTATTTTCAGCGTTCTGTAAAGTTTGTCCAACCGGTCAACAGTTGCAATATAAGAGTACATTAGTGGACCAAACCTGAATAGGTCAGTTCCTGCCTGGATCTTTTCAGTTTCTGTATTTATGAAGGATACCCTAAATCAATTGCACGTATAATGCTTGCCTTTATATCAAACAGTGTATTTACATAACTTATTTGTATGAAATCCTACTTGGCATATATGCAGAAAATTTAGCCTTTGCTTGTTATTGTCTGTATAGATAATTTATTCAGATGTCTGCTTGTCATTTGTTCAACTTTTTTGTGATAACACATAATGTAACATAAATTTCTTATTGTTATTCTTTTGTGTATCTTTTCCTTTTCTTTGTATTGTATACTTTTCTCTGACAGTATTTGTGGTGAATAAGCTTGTGTCCAGCAGATTTAACTCTTCTAATCTAGTCGTAGCATGTTTTCTTCTGTGTTAAGCAGATGCTTCCAGGTTGTTGGTTTTCTCTCTGCACCTCCCCATTCTTTTAAGCTTAAAAGCGTTTTTCCTCTGTCTTGGACAGGCCTTTTTAGAACCCAAAGACGGGAATAAAACAGGGTGGGTTTGCTACTCGCTGAGCTCCAGTGTTTTCTTTAGCCTAATCACACACAGACGTTGCACAGGAGGGAATCCCCCTGTAAAGAATGCAGAGAATGTTATGGCTTAATGGCTGTTTCCAACTTTTTTTTTTACTTTTTTCAGTGTCTTTTTGTTTAAGTATGCAAAAGAAGGTGGAGTGGAGGGTCCTTGGCTTTGTAGGAAGCCAAGGACGTCCCAATCCTGCTCCACTGGAGCGGATCCTTTAAAATTTAAATGGATGGGATATTGGCTTAATCCCGGTCCACTTCCAGTCCTCTGCTTTTTTGGTTATGCTTTCTTTTACAGTGCCCTAAGTTCTAAGTATTAACCAGATAAGCGTGTGGTACAAAGTCTAAAGAATGAAGTTATTAATTTGAGTAACATGATAGTAGATTGCAAAACCGTTTAACTAAATTACACTGAAATACCAAACAGATTCTGTATATTAACTGGGTTAATGTGTGGTACTCCACTGTGCTGTGTAATTATTTAAAAAGTATGTAGAAAGTACCGGGTAGTAATTAGGAATTTGCATGGATACTCGATGCCAGTATTCAAGTACAGAGTTCACTCTTCAGGTACTCATTCCATTTCGTCACAGAAAGACTGAGTAAATATAGAGACTAGTAAATCAGTGAAACACGACTTTTATGTTTTAACTGGACTTCAAAATGTTATTTTTGTATTTGTGAGTAAGTATATTGCACTGTGACACTCTGATATACGAGTACCTGAACGTGAGCGTATTTCTCTCACAAACTAACATGTTGGCACATCATCCACTGAGAATATTAGTCCTCAATAGCATCCAGTGTTGTACAGGTTACCTGTAGTTTTAGCTCATATCTGGAGAGGCAGCCTCAGTTACTCTTCCAACAACCAGTTTCCCTCGGCTGTGTTTGAATAATAAAGCATGTTTTCCAGTGTTCCTCTGATAGCTGCTAAATTTTTGGGCTGATTTTTTTTTTTTAGCATCTTAACACCAGAGCTAACCCCTAAATGAGTAAGCATCCACCCCTATGGTAATTTAGGCCAAAGTCCTTTTTTTCCTTACCCACAGTTACCCGGAAATCCATTCATTAACTCTTGCGGATGCTCGAATATCCAAACTAGTTGGAATGCACTTCTCTAGTTGTGATATGGCATTAAAAGAGTCTTATATAGTTTGTACCTGTTTATTATCTAGAAACAAAGCCAAATCTGGGCTGCAGAGGAAAACAGTGATTCTTACTGTGGTTGTATGGAGCCGTTACCATTTACTTGTACAAAACTATCTTGTTATGTTATATAACTGTTGCTTGGATGTACTTCTGATTTACTTTCCTGCTTGAACATGTGATCTTACAGTGAGGTTTAGTGTATCTTTGCATTTTCCACCTTGTCAATCCAAATAATTAAGATTTTGCTATGTACTTTATCAGCATAATAGCTAGAACCTGTTAGTCATTTCAGTGTCGTTTAGTTAGTCCGACGTGGTACTTCCTATCATTTTACCCAAAATAATTAAGCAACACTTTGGAGTTTGCACTACACAATTACTTGTTGAATACCAAGAACCTGTTGAGCACTTCAGTGTAATTTAGTTAAACTGTCTTAAAATATACTATCAAGTCACCCAAAATAATTACCTAGTGCTTCGGAGTTTGTTCATACTTACCTAGTTAATACTGAGAACTTAAGGAACTGTAAAAGAAATCATTACCACTTCTTTGCACATTATTCACTCCTCTGTCGTAGAGGCACCATACATGATTATTATCCACAACCTGCAGCAGGGAGGCACGTTTTCAGAAGTTACCATGGTGCCTGCAGTGTGAAACTATTTTAAAGTAAAAAAAACAAACATATTATTACAGTGTTTCGGTTGCATTTGAACTGGCCAACATTTGTGTAAACATGGGTGTGAAAATTGTGAGTGTGCAGATTTGAGCCTTTTTCCTGAAGCTTGCTCATGCACAAAATTCACTCCCACAGTGTTTTCACTAGCAATCCTCAACTAATCTGAAACCATATGTTCTGCTTTACTAGCCATGCTGCACGCTATTTTATGTTGCACAGTATAGCAACATAAAATCACGTTGTAT